GGTTTTTACAATAGAGGTCTCATACAATATTTGTCCTTTTGTGATTGACTTATTTCCCTCAGCATAATGTCCTCCAGTTTCATCCATGTTATGCGATGGTTCACTGATTCATCATTTGATTTCTTGACTGCTGCTTCTATGGGTATTGACTGTGAATCCAAGTAAAATGAAAACCTTGACAACTTCAATCTTTATTTATCATAATGTTGCTTATTGGTCTAGTTGTGACGATTTTTGTTTTCTTTATGTTGAGGTGTAATTCACACTGAAGGCTGTGGTCTTTGATCTTCCGATCAGTAAGTGCTTCAAGCCCTCTTCACTTTCAGCAAGCAAGGTTGTGTCATCTGCGATTGAAGATTGTTAATGAGTCTTCCTCCAATCCTGATGCCATGTTCTTCTTAATATAGTCCAGCTTCTCAGATTATTTGCTCAGCCTACAGACTGAATAAATAGGGTGAAAGGATACAACTCCAATGCACACCTTTTCTGATTTTAAAACATGTAGTATTCCCTTGTTCTGTTCAAACAACAGCCTCTTGGTCTATGTACAGGCTCTTCATGAGTACAATTCAGTTTTGGAATTCCCATTCTTCATAATGTTATCCATAATTTGTTATGATTCACACAGTCAAACACCTTTGCATAGTCAATAAAACACAAGTAAACATCTTTCTGGTATTCTCTGCTTTCAGCCAAAATCCATCTGCATCAGCAATGATTTCCCTCATTCCACGACCTCATCTGAATCTGGCTTGAATTTCTGGCAGTTCCCTGTCAATGTACTGCTGCAACCATTTTTGAATTATCTTCAGCAAAATTTTACTTGCATGTGATACTGATGATATTGTTTGATAATTTCTGCATTCCACTGGCTCGCCTTTCTTGGGAATAGGCATAAATATGGATCTCTTCCAGTCGGTTGGCCAGGTAGCTGTCTTCCAGATTTCTTGGCACAGACGAGTGAGCACTTCCAGCACTGCATTTATTTATTGAAACATCTCAGTTGGTATTCTGTCAATTCCTGTAGGCTTGTTTTTTGCCAATGCCTTCAGTGCAGCTTGGACTTCTTCCTTTAGTATCATCGGTTCTTGATCATATGCTACCTCCTGAAATGGTTGAATGTCGACCAATTATTTTTGGTACAGTGACTCTGTGTATTCCTGCCATCTTCTTTTGATGCTGTCTGTGTTGTTCAATATTTTGCCATAGAATCCTTCAGTCTTGCAGGCTGAATTTTTCTTCAGATCTTTCATCTTGAGAAATGCCAAGTGTATTCTTCCCTTTGGGTTTTCTAACTTCTCGACCTTGCACATTTCATTATACCACTTTTTTTTGTCTTCTGGAGCTCCCCTATGAAATCTTTTGTTCAGCTCTTTTGCTTCATCATTTCTTCCACTCGCTTTAGCTATTCTACATTCAAGAGAAAGATTCAGAGTCTGTTCTGACATCCATTTTGGTCTTTTCTTTCCGATCTTGTTCATGACCTTTTGCTTTCTTCATGTATGATGTCCTTGATGTCATCCCACAACTGTCTGGTCTTTGGTCATTACTGTTCAGTGAGCAAAAACTATTCTTGAGATGGTCTCTAAATTCAGGTGGGATATTCTCCAAGTCATACTTTGGCTCTCATGGACTTGTTTTTATTTTCTTCAGCTTCAACTTGAACTTGCGTATGGTCAATTGATAGTCTGTTTTGTAGTTGGCCCCAGCCTTGTTCTGACTGATGGTACTGAGCTTTTCTATCGTCTCTTTCCAAAGATGTAGTTGATTTGATTCCTGCGTGTTCCGTCTGGTGAGGTGCATGTATAGTCACCATTTATGTTGTTGAAAAAAGTTATTTCCAATGAATAGGTCGTTGGTCTTGCAAAATTCTATCTGTACTCTCTGGCATTGTTTCTATCACCAAAGCAATATTTTCAAGCTACTGCTTTTTCTTTGTTTCCAACTTTTGCCTTCCAATCATCAGTAATTATCAATGCATCTTGACTGCATGTTTGATCAATTTCAGACTGCAAACGCTAGTAAAAAATCTTTAATTTCTTCATCATTGGTATTAGCAGTTGGTGCATAAATTTGAATAATAGTCATTAACTGGTCTTCCTTGTAGATATATAGATATTATCTTATCACTGACAGTGTTTTACTTCAGGATAGATCTTGAAATGTTCTTTTTTACAATGAATGTGATGCTGTTCCACTTCATTCCTGGCATAGCAGACCATATGGTTGTCCGATTCAAAATGGTCAGTACCACTCCAATTCAGCTCATTCATGCCTAGGATATCTATCTTCAAGCATTCTATTTCATTTTTGGCAATTTTCAGTTTTCCTAGATTCACGCTTCGTACGTTCCACGTTTTGAATATTAATGGCTGTTTGCAGCTGTTTCTTCCCATTTTGAGTTGTACTGCATCAGCAAATTAAGGTCCCAAAAGCTTGACTCCATCCATGTCATTAAGGTCAATTCTATTTTGAAGAGGCAGTTCTTCCCATTCTTATTTTTAGCGCCTTCCAACCTGAGGGGCTTATCTTCTGGCGTTATATTAGACAATGTTCCGCTGCCATCCATAAGGTTCTCATTTCCAAATTTTTTAGAAGCAAATCGTCAGGTCCTTCTTCCTCGTCTGTCTTAGTCCAGAAGCTCCACTGAAACCTGTCCACCATGGGTGATGCTGCTGGTATTTGAAATACTGGTGGCATAGCTTCCAGCATCACACCAACAGGCAAACAACACGCAGGTATGGCAAACTGACAGACAAGTGGTGGAGGACAATGCTGGGTGCTTCTAAAGAGAAGGTCGACACATTTTTACAAACTGAAC